CCCCGCCGCCGCAGGCGCCAGCGCCGGCGCTGCTGGCCGCCGCCAGCGCCGGCGCCGGCGCCAGGGGGGGGGGTGAACCAAGCGCCCCTTGGGCTGCCTCTGGTCATCGTCGCTGCGTCCCCGCCGTAGGCGCTGCTGGCGGCCGCCAGCGCCGGCGCCAGCGCCGGCGCCGAGGGGGGGTTGGGAGGGTTTGAACCCCCTCACCCTTGGAAGGGGGGGGGGGGGTCGGAAGGGGGGGGGTTGGGGGGGAGGTGAATCCCCCTGGTTTTGATCGACGGCGCCGAATGTTGGGGGGGGGCACCCCCCAGCTCGAAACGCGCCGACGGATGTTCCCAAGGCAAGCGCCCGTGAAACGCGCTCTCTCCAGGGCTGGGAACCAAACAACGGGGCCGCGCGGGCGAGCGTCGGCGCGCACGTTTCCAAGAGAATGGTTCGGCGCAGGGCACGCGCAGCAGCCCTGCCAGCGCGCGGCAAGCTGCGCTGGCGAGCGGCCGACGCCTTTCCGCGCCGCCACGCCGTCGAAGGCGATGGCCGCCCTCGTGGCCACGCGCTCCTCGCGGACGCGCTCGGGCTGCCTGGCCGAGGGCGGAGTGGCGCACCGTGGGCACGTCCCTGGTGCGGAGGAGGTGCCCCATGGCCGCTTGGCCGCTGCAGCCCGGGGCATGAGCTTGGCGTGCGGCCTCCAGTGCTCCGTGTGGCGGCAGGGCGGCCGGCTGTTCCTCGTCGAAGCCGCTTCGTCACGCGACGTCGCCGTGCAGACCCGGTGGGGGAGGTTGCCGAAGCCGACGTCGACGGGCGTGAAAACTTTGTCCGTCGGCAGCGAGGCGGGACGATCCGCTCCAGCGTAGCAGCGATGCAGGGGCACTACAAAGCGAACTGGCCGGTGAAAGCACGCAGGGGCAGGAGCGAAAACAAGCAGGGACCACACCCGCACGTCCTTGGCTGGCTCGGCCAATCGAGGGCGAGAAGTTCCAGGAGTCTTGCCCATCTCGCCCAGGTGGAGGAGCACCTGAAAGACTGGCCCTTGCACCACGGTCGCGCCAGCGCCGCCTACCGCCTCGTCTTCTCTCATCGCTGCACCACCCTCAGCCTCTTCTGCCTCATCGTAGGCGTCTGTAGTGGGAGGTGGTGGCAAACCTTCTCGGCGCCACGCTCCACCGCGCCCGCGCAGGCCTCTGGTGACAAGCACCACCAGCTTTGCGTGACGACATCCGGAGACTCGAGTATTGCGTGATGCCTGCTGATCGGCCTGGTGCGAGCATGCACCAGCGGTGGGATGCTGGCGCGATACCAACCCAAACAAACTTTGTGCCGATGGGATTGAGCGAGGAAGCGGTACCAAGTGAAGAAGTCCATCCAACATCGCTCGCGATTCCTCGCCCCCGCGGAGTATGGGGCATCGAAGCCAGTCAGGAGCTGCCACTTGCGATTGGCTTGCCACGCTCCCACCGCCTGAGAAGTATCTCCACGCGCGCAGACGAGCTCTGAAGAGGAGGAGGAGGAGGAGGAGGAGGAGAAGGAGGAGGGGGAGAAGGAGGAGGAGGAGAAGGAGGAGGAGGAGGAGGAAAAGAAGGAGGAGGAGGGAGTGCGGAGGGGAGGAGAGGCAGGAGGAGGGGGAGGGTGGAGGGGAGGGGGAGGGGGAGGGGGGAGGGGAGGGGGAGGAGGAGGAGGAGGTAGAGAGGAGGAGGAGGAGGAGGAGGAGGAGGAGGAGGAGGAAGCGCAATTGTTTCTCGAAATGTCGACCTCCCTGAGCGAGCGCTGCCGGGCACGGAGGCGAGCGCTGCTCCGCCCAACAACCGCCAAAGCAGTCGCGCCCGGCGCGCGGGCACTGCGTTCCACGTGCCAGCGGGCGCACCGCTGGCAGCGCTGGCAGTCTTATCCTCCGCCATGTGGTCTCGGCAGGGGGCGGAGGGGGGGTCCTCCTCCCCCTCCTCCCCCTCATCACACTCCTTCCTCCCCCTCCTTCCTCCCCCCTCCTCCTCCTACCCTTCCTCCTCCTCCTCCTCCTCCTCCTCCTCCTCCTCCTCCCCCTCCCCCTCCTCCTCCTCCATGCATGAGCGTTGGCTGAGAGCTCGAGCTCGAGGTTCGAGAATCGAGGATCGAGGCTCGAGGCTCCAGGGTCGAGGTTGGAGGAGCGTGTTCGCGTCGCCCCTGAGGGCTCGCGATTGCCACGGAACTCAAAGCTCGCGAACGCGTCCGTGTACTTGGTGCCCGTGCTGCGTTCCACGAAACGCCGCTTGGAGATGCCTGTCTGTGTGAAGGCGGGAACAGACAGCTGCTGGTGGGGCTGGCGTCAAAGAGCCGGCATAGCTTGCACGTCCTGTCAGTCAGGACTGCCAAGGCCTCCGACAAGGGCTTCTGCCACTGCCAAGGCCTACCACTCAGGCGAACGTGCCTTCGCCCCCCTTACGAAGAATTTGCTGCATGATGAACTCTGGGAGCCGTCCCCTGGAAGACATCAAAAACGCTGTCTTTTCTCTGGTTCTGGTGGCGCCCCATGGCATTGGGGCAAGATCCTCGCACACGATATCTGCCAACATGTTTCTGTCATGCTGTGCTTCCGCAAACGTCATGATATCCCGCCTCATCGTATTCGTCCTCGCCTCCTGCACTGCATTTTCCTGTCACTCCGTTATGTCCTCCACCACCACCTACTGCCTCTTCTTGTCCTTTTGTCTTATCTTGGTACCCCCCTGTCTGGCCTCGACACACACAGCATAGTATTACATGTTATGTTGTGCGGTGGATTGTCCTATCGTGAAGAGATCAAGCACCTTCCTAGAGTGTCATTGCCATTGCCCAGCCTACCCGGTCATTGGCCGACCTTCCCACTAGCAGGAACGATATACACCGTCTCGCAAGAGCTGGTTCCATCATTTGCTAATTCACCGCCAATCCTGCCACATCCAGTCCTACCCGATCATGCCACATACTATGCCACTACTTCCTCCCCCAATTCAACATACCAGATCCGCTCGTAGATAGCCGCTCATGCAGTACACCGTGCGTTCTCTAGTTCGTCCTTCATCGTACGTAAGATAGAAAGAAGCCGCCCATAAGAGATATCATAAAGCGGTGCGACAAAACGTATGCATTCAATGCGTAAAGATCATGGTGACGCAGGCATTGAAGATCCGTCCTTTTGTCGAGGATGCAGAATTACCTGTATCCCACCAGAAACCATATACCCATTCAGCCATGGAAATGTACGTTTCAATGTAGATGCTGAATGGTTTGAGATCGATCCAATACTACGAGATGGTGTCTCCTATTCCTTCGAGTCCGGATTCACTTCATTAAAACCAATCGTATCCGATCCCGTCGTGTCAGATCGTCTGATACTCCACATCCCCTTCTCTCTCCCCTCTTGTTCTACGCTCTGTGCTACAACACAAAGCAGGTCGACGATCGAAGACGGCCATCGCTCCCCTCTCTCCTCTTCATGTTAAGTCCTCCTCCTCTTCCTCCTCCTTCTCCTACTCGCCCTCTCGCCTGACCGTGCACCCCTGAATTCGGCCAGTCCTCCGTCTCGGCGCTGGTGGAGAACTCGAAGGCCGCCCTGAGGGACCGCGGCGGGTAGCCCTTGACAAGGAAGTCTTCGCCCATGCCCATGCCACGCGCCCAGGCATGCGCTCCCATCTCAAGCTTCCACCACGAGACGTTCTGCTCCGCGGGCGGCCGTAGCAGCACGACCAGCGCCGCCCCTGGCGTCGCACTGTGGATCAGCTTGGCGGCCCAGGGCGCGTTGAGGTGCGACGCGCACCCGTCGAAGACAGGCGAGGCCTTCCCGTACACGAGCCGCCGGAGCCACATGGTAATCTTCAGTGGGAAGCACATGCGGTACGCCGCTGGATGCACGAATCCGAAGTAGTGGCCGGCAAAGTAGAAAGACTCCTAGCCCATGGAGCACAGTCGCCGCCGAGGCCCCCTCCTGTCCACCTGGGTCACACTCGCTTCGCGCGCCGCGCGCCGAGCGATGCGCGAGAGGCGCGGACATCTCCGCGCCTTTCCGCCGCGTTGCCCTGAAGCAGGGCACATGTACGGCTCAGCCCGCGAGGCGCGGAGCGCGTTCCTCTTCGCACCCCTGCTGGTGACCCAGTGGTCCACACGGATGGCCAAGTCCTGGAGATGGGCAGGGCCGCCCCCCGCTGGCCCCCGACGCTTGGCCGCCGAGCCCGTCCCAAGGATCTGGCCCCCGGAGTTGACGACAAGGAGCGGACCTGACGGCCAGCTTCTGTCGGGGGGCGTCCTTGTCGCTCGCGAACGGCACGATCCACGGCGAAAAGGCCCCGATGCAGCCGATCTCCCGGAGGTACGACGAGAGAGTGGTCGTGCCGGTCCGCGTCTCGCCCAAGATGTGGAAGTCGGGGAGCACCCGCAGCGGAGCCGTCAGAAACCTCCACGCCGCCTCCAGCGGGCGCGTCAGCATGAAGTGCTGGTAGTAGGCGCCGAGGCTCCGATTCGGCTTCCTTCCTCCCTCCCCTTCCTCCCCATCGTCCATCCCGACTCCCTCCTCTACCCCCCCCCCCCTCACCCATGCCTCCCTGCCCCGATCACCCCCAGCAGGCCCTATTGAGGGGTCGGAGCCTCGCCCTCCTTGCGTTCCACCTACTATTGGACCACGCGGCCGCGAATACCGAATACCGTCGAAACCAGTAAGGATGCGCAAGGCACATAGAAAGCGCCGAGACTGCAGGGCACATCTGGATTGAGGAAACAGGAAGCATGCAAGGGATGACCAGAATCGAGGGATGAAAGGGTCCAATGCGTCAGAGACTCATCCTCAACGCCAATTTTGACTCTTGCCCTCCCCTTTCTCCCCCCCTCCGGTTGAACACCACTCGAGTGGTGTGCACGTAGAAGGCGATGCTGAACCTGACGCGCCCTCGCGGCACCCACACCGAGGCAAAGCCCCCCCCCCTTGAAAAGAAAAAATGCACAGAATCTGCGGAGTGCTGCTTTCTGTTGCTGCCCCCTGCCCTCGAGCGGGGGGGGGCGGCGCCACCATGGACGGCTGAGTGGCGACGAGGGGGGGAAGGCGCCCACTGGTGTCAGGAGGCAAGTACTGGGAGGTCTTCGTCGGAAGGATGAAAAAGGATTGAGCCCCCTCGGGGGGCTGCTACGCCGGATTAGTCCACAAATTAAGCGGCATCAAGCCAGATTGAGCGAGATTGGGCCGCCTGAAGAGGGATAATCACACGGATCACGCCGGAGTTCGGACCAGGGCACCATCAGAACCTGACCTCCCAGGGAGTCGTATCCGAACTGGTGGGTGCAGCGGGGGCCCCCCGGTGAACCCGAAGCCCACGGAGCACACGCCGAGGAGGCCGTACACCAGCGGCGCGCAGCGCCAGCCAGCAGCGTGCGCGGCGCACGCCAGCAGCAGCCCCAGCGAGGCGCCGCGGAGGTCCGACAGCCACGTCGGCAGCATCCCGCTGCGGAGGTCCGGCCCGGCCCTGCGGGGCTGGAGGCCCAGGCCGAGGGGAGGCGTGGGGCCAAAACGGCTGCTGCGCCACGGCGGGAGCGAGCGAGCTGCGCAAGGAGGGGAGGGGGCAACTCCTCCTCCTCCTCCTCCTCCTCCTCCTCCGCCTGCTCCTCCTCCTCCTCCTCCTCCGCCTCCTCCTCCTCCTCCTCCGCCTCCTCCTCCTCCGCCTCCTCCTCCTCCTCGGGGCGGCGAGGCTGGCAGCGAGCGGGCCACGCACGGAAGCAGCTGGGCCGCGAGGCAGCGGGGAGGCGAGGCAGGGGGGCCATCGCCCACGGGAGGCAGGCGGGGGCAACGAGCGGACCCGGAGATGAGGCAACGATGTAGCAGGAAAGCTTGTCGCGAAACTGGCAGCAAAGGGCGAAGAATGGAAGGCAAAAAATCCACCTCCATAATAACCACCCCGACTCGCGAAGTCGCTTAGTAAACGCGCCCAAAGAAGGAATCGAACAGGGCAGGGCTGTTTAGTAAACGCCCAGGGCCGTTTTGTAAACGCCAATTGTCCGGTCCGGGTAGTTGTTCCTCCCTTGAAAGAACTCGGATGATGCCAGCCCCCTATTGTATCGCTACGAGGGGCGTCAAAACTATCGCAGGGACCGCGGCTGACCACGAGCAAGACACGAGCTGGGGCATTATGGCCATGAGAACTAAAGACGAGGCAAGAAGACAACAGTGCAGCGGCAACGGGGCAATACTGCAGCGAGGCAAGCCACGAGATGGGACCATGGAGGCCACGAAGCAATTAGGCAACGGGCACCAGGACAACAAGGCAACGAACGGGCCATGCAATAGCGCAACGAGGCATCGGGGCAATGCGCGGGGCACACGGGGGAATATGAAGGCAAGAATGCTGGGATGTAAATGGGCGACGCGAGAGAGCTTCAGCAAGGCTATGAGGCAAGAAAGCACTGGCCGAAAGGGGGATGAGCCAGGCCGCAAACTGAAACGTCCCATTCTCCTCGTCCCCTTCTTTCTCCTCGTCCTCCTCCTCACCCTCGTCCCTCTCGTCCTCCTCCTCCTCCTCCTCAGAATGTGGCTCTCGCCTTCGCGCCGTGCACATTCGATTTAAACATGTGCAAGAGCTTCACGGATTGAGGCGGGGTGGTTTTCAAATTGTGGCTCTCGCCTTAGCGCCGCGCACATTTGTTCTATAAATATACAAGAGCTTCATGGATTGAGGACGGGTCGTTTTCAACACGTGGCTCTCGACTCAGCGCCGCGCACATTCGTTATACAAGGTTACGAGAGCTTCACGGATTGAGGGCGGGTCGTTTTCAAAATATGGCTCTCACCTTAGCGCCGCGCACACTCGTTTTAGACATGTGCAAGAGCTTCACGGATCGAGGGCGGTTTCTTTTCAACATGTGGCTCTCGCCTTAGCGCCGCGCACATTCGTTTTGAATAAAATGCAGGAGTTCCACGGATCCCCATGATCAACATACCAGACATGGTAGGTTGGAATGATGATGGATTATGTGGGTGCAACCGTGATGTTGATTCGCGGTGTTGCAGTCCCAAAAATGCCGTTCTGGCACGATTCCAGATCGCCAGGACGCAGCAGTCAGGTTGATCCACGGCGTGGAAATCCCAAGCACAATGTTTTGGCATGCTTCAAGGTCTTCAAACGGTTGTCTTCCAACGGGCCACTTCCTTCTATGGAAATGAACCGTTGTAGGGGCCTATGAAGAGGGAGCCTGGAGGGAGGGTTCATTCCAACATTGTTGATGACTCTTGGGTTTACTCTGGTCCTCCTCCTCCTCCCCCTCGTCCTTACAATGCTCTTCCTCCTGCTCCTCACGGCAACATACCCCAGACATATGGTCGCGCCAAGAGGCAGCACAAACCGAATCCGCTAGCTGGTGGTGCCGTCCCGTCAAGGGCCTCCTCGAGCCTCCGCGCTGCCTATCACAGGCCCAGGCTAGCTATCTGCGCGGCAAGACTCACTTTAGAGACAGTCTGGGAATCCAAAGGATTTGGGAGAGCCCGAACGTCCACGCAGTGAACTGGGGCTGCTTTACAGGTCGGTGCGAAGTCCCACCAGCCCTTTGGGCGTGAGTGGTTTAGGGAGCTCTCTCTGTTCTCAACCCCCCTTCTTCCCCTTCGGGGAGGGGTTTATCTGTCCCCCTACCCCCTCCCCTGGACCTGGAGAGGGCGGGCCGAGCGTTCTCAGGGGGGTCCATTTCGACTCCTGGGAGGGCCAAAAAAAACGACGACCCTCACGAGGATTCTGGCCCCCAGGGGGGGGGGGGGGAGTTTGGCGCCTCTGCTCGCCTTTGAAGCAGAAACCATTGATTTTACAATGGTTTTGGCCCCATTTTGGACTTCTGCGGGGGCCGCGCTCATCGTCCTTCCTAGCAAAATCATTGATGTTACGAAGGTTTTGGGCTCAGTTTGTACTTCTCAGGGTGCAGCTCTATTTTGCGCTCCTGAGGAGGTCGCAAGAGGCCCCAAGATGGCCCTAAGGGGCACCCAGGAGGCCCCCAAGAGGCCCCCAAGAGGCCCCCAAGAGGCCCCACGAGGCCCCAAGAGCCCCCCAAGAGGCCCCCAAGAGGCCCCCAAGAGGCCCCCAAGAGGCCCCACGAGGCTCCAAGAGGCCCCCAAGAGGCCCCACGAGGAGCCCGAACGACTCACACCAGGACGAGGGGCCCGAACGACTCACACCACGAAGAGCCCGAACGACTCACACCACAAGGAGGGGCCCGAACGACTCACACCAGGACGAGGCGCCCGAACGACTCACACCACGAGGAGCCCGAAGGACTCACACCACGACGCGGGCCCCGAACGACTCACACCACGAGGAGCCCGAACGAGTCACACCAGGAGGAGGGGCCCGAACGACTCACACCAGGATGAGGGGCCCGAACAACTCACACCACGAGAAGCCCGAACGACTCACACCAGGACGAAGAGCCCGAACGACTCACACCACGAAGAGCCCGAACGACTCACACCAGGAAGAAGGGCCCGAACGACTCACACCAGGACGAGAAACCCCAAACGACTCAAATCACGAGGAGCGCTTTCTCTCCCTCCTCCTCCGCCTCGTCCTTCTCCCGCTCCCCTCACAAGGAGGATGTACAAGGAGGCGGGAGGAAGGAGGAACAGGGGAGATATGCGAGGCCAAGCGGACACACGCCTGAAAAACACGACTGTCGGCATGCTTCGCGAGAGTTGCTGCTGTGAGATGGGCTGGTGGGGATACGCGAAGCGTAAAGAATAAGAAGACGGCACGGACAGAGACAATGACAAACAAACAAACAACATGGAATAGAGCATGAGCATCGGATTTCCCGATGCCTGCACAAAATGGCCCCAGGACGCCTGCTGACGGCCACACAGCCCTTGTAGAACTGCCTACAGATCTCACCCCTCAGACGGCCGCAAGATCGTTCAAGATGGCGCGAACACCAGCAGCTGGCTCCCAAAAAGGGCAGAGCGGCTCCCAAGGAACCTTCTAGCGCTCTAGCGAGCTCCGAGGAAGCCAAAAAATGCGAGTGCTGAATCCGTGGGCCCAGAGGTGTTTTCTCCGATGTGGGGTAACGAGCAGTCACGTGTTACGGCCCTCCGGGATATCAGAGAGAGAAGCGTCACATGTTACGACAAAGTGACCTCAGACAACTGTCAGAGGCAATTGCTTATTTGGGCCAAGGAAAAAGATGTGGTAGATCTTTGTAGAATTCTGATACCTAGGTCACAAAGCTAGATGTCCCATGTTAAAGAAGACCTACCACTAGAACGCGAATGCTTCTGAACATTCAGGTGTCGGGCTCGGATTCCGTGCTGCTGGAGCGCCACGGACGGTATTGAGATACTGGTGATGCTTTGTCATTCGCCATCGGCCATCACATAAGCAGTGGTCACTTCCAGACTCTTCTCAAATTCTGAACACCAACGCCTCCGAAGATGCATCCGAATGAATTTTTCATGCCGCGCTCGGCCGTGGCGACGGTCAGGGGCACCACGAGGGTCACAAGCGCAAAACAGCAAACACAAGCTCATGCAGTCGATTCCAGAATTTGAGAACAGAAGCACCCTAAGCTAAACCTATATGAGTATGTGTTGTAAACCTATGGCACGCTCCAGACACCCTGAACCCGAAAATGCTGACGGGACGCATCTTTTCCGTTTGCTGATTTCCGCCAGCCTTGCGCCAGCGGAGCCACCCCCGCTTTACTTCTGCCGGCCTTTCGCCGCCATCACATGGAAAAACAAAAAGACGCAGACCTATGGACCACTCGAAGGCGAGGTTCCCTCTGCAACGCTACTTCTGAAGCGGGTCTCGAGAACAGGGAAGAAGACGAAGCAGCCACCTGAAGACCAGGGGACGCACACACCTCCAGCCGCGCTGGCCGCGGGGGCCCCTCCTTGGCCGCGTTGACGACCGGCGCACCGCCCGTGACGAAGGCCAGCGCGTCAACGGCCTTTGTGCACAGGAGGCCAGGGCTGAGGAGACCCCAGGCTGAGAGGGAAGCGAGCATAGAAGACCAAACAAGGGCGCGAACGTAAACTTTCGGAGATCCGCGCGGGCACCCTGGACTACCTACCAAACCACCCCAACCCAACCCGAAGACCCGAAGACCCGAATTTGACCTGAATTTCGGGTTGGGGAGGGGTACGGGCTCCATATGTGTTTTCCCCGACCCCCCCCCCCCAACTGGAAATAGAGGGCAAATCGAGGCCTTTGGGTTAGGTTGGGGTGGTTTGGTGGGCGGTGAACCCTTCCCTGCACTCTTGGCCGCGCCCCCCTCGCGCTCCGCACGCCAGGGAGGGGGTGTGGAAAGGGGATCCAGCGCCGACCCACGAGATCAGAACGGTCATACCAAAGCTTCTGCTTCGGAGGTTGGGGGGTGAGATCGCAGTGGATTTAGATCGGGCGTGTCATCCTACAGGCGGATTTGGGAGGAAAATAAAAATACCTAAGAAAAATCAAAAAATGTTCAAACATGGTCACAGCATCGTCCCCAGACTATTTTTGACTATTTGGGAACATTCCTCCCGTAGAGGGACAGGCCCAACTTCACAGT